TGGGTGTGTTTTTGTCTTTCATTTAAATCTAGATAAAATCGAGATATTTTACATGCAGAGCTTTTACTTGCTTTTCTCTTTCTTTTCTTCTTTTTTTTTTAAACTCTCACCTCTCACCCTCACTGGCAGCTCTTCAGATGTTATATCATAGCCAATTAAATCTGAACTGAAAAGCACAACTCAACTTGTAAGCCAAAACAGCCTTTCAAGTATTCAGGTAGTTTCAGTTTCACCATGTCAACTGTGCAAATTCATTTGGGATCTTTTGATACTTCATGACTCCATTCTCAGCCACCAAATAGACAGTGAGAAGGCACTGTCGTGTTTAAGGGGAAAAATCAGTGAAGTCCTCGTGTGTGTGAGACGGTCAAAAGTAAGTGTGATGAGAAAGAAACGAGAGAGAAATGAGTCACCCAGGATGTGCAGCTAGCAGAGGGATGACTCTAACCTGATCCCGGTGCACTGAATTACTGCCACGGCTCGTTCAGCAACACAAAGAGGAATAATCAAAACTCAACCCTGTTTCAATTAGAGGCAGCGTTTGAGGCAGCAGAAAACCAGCCTCGGTGAGCAGCAGCACTGATCCACTGAATCGGTTATTATGTGCTGATGCTTTGCTGAACATCATAACGCCCACGTAAACCCTTCGCTGTTGTCTAAAATAACGCCAGTTATTTCAGACTTACAGGGGATGTGTCGGCTGAATCGAGTAAAGACGCAGAGCGACGTGAGAGGGCGAAACGCAAAGATACTGTGTCGTGAAGAAGTGACACCGCGGTGAAGAGGCCCTCACCCACGGGAGGAGAATTCAGTCTGCGCTGGTTTCTCTGTCTCTCTTTTCCTCGGAAAGGAGAAAATGAGGAGAACTGCAGTGTTGTGTGACTCATCCTGGTGTAGAGAGCAGCTTTTACAGTCTCACCTGTACGAACACACGCACACACACAAACACACAGCCCTGCATATACAGTCATCTGTTTATCCAATAAATTAAGCTCACACTCACTTACTAGAGTATTTCAGATATGAGGTTTTAAATCCCAGCCGGTCTTTGTGAATCTTGCATTAGACAGAATAACATTAGACAGTCTTAACCTCCGATGACCTGGCGTCCACATATGTGGACATCACATTTTGGGTTGTCTAGGCCACAATCCTACATTTTGCTATACAAGGGTCTGATATCCACTCACGAGGACATTACACTGCCACCTGAAATGTTTCGTGTTTCATGCAATGTTCTGAAATCTTTTACGTTTTTTGACTTTGTTGCAG